AGTTAAATTAATCAATAATGAAACCTATAAATGTTGTAATTAAACATTTTGGTAAATTTTTAAATAGGAATTAAGTTAGTCGATAGAATAAAAGAATTATAGCAGCAGCAGTTTTTATAGTAGTAAAACTATTCTATCTAAGTATTAAAATTCTAATTTGTATAATTAAATGTTTATGTATTATTACCTTGTTTTTTTTTTTTATAGGGAATTTCACCACAGGTTGTCAGAGGAAGCTACTATTTTAGAAAACTCTCTTGTAAATCTTTATTTAGCAATGGAAAATCATATGAAACATTTTGGCGGGGAAGCTTTACAAAAAGAAAATGAAGTTATTATAATAAGCGATTTGCTCATTAAAATTTATGCTTTCATCGTTTGTTTATCGAGGTAAAAAAAAAAAAAAAAAGAAAAATTAATTAATTTGTAAATAAATAAAGAATAAAAAAATTTTTTTTTTTTTTTTTTTTTTATAATTAATTTAAAAAATTTTTTTTTGCAGGGCGTCCGATTCTTTTTGCGATGAAAATGAATTTGCGGGTTTCGAAATGTCATTATTAAAAATTTTTGCCAACGATGTATTTTTTCAAACGAAAACCTCTTTGGAACTTATATCGAGACATAAATTGTATTCCTTTTTAAATGATAATATTTCACGATTAACAATTTCAGCTAAAGGATATCCTGTGACTCATCCTTTGGCTCGTGCGTTTTAAAAAAATTTTAATTTAATTTTTCGTCGTTAATCCCGACGCGATTTCCCGGATAATTGTCGGACGTTTGAAAATCCCATAGAATATTTTTAAAAAATTATACCGTTAAAACCAATCGTGCTTTGTTACATATAATAGTTAATTGAAATAAAACAGTATCAATCATTTCATTTAAAAAAAAAAAAAGAAACCTCCTTTACTTTCTCATTCCTTCTTTTGTTACTAAAACCGTTATTGATATTCTAAACGGTTTTCAAAAAAAAAAATTTTTTCTATAGATTTGAAATAATAAAAAAAAATACAATTTTTATTCCGTTTTTGATAAAATCGTTATTATTTCATTCTTTTTTGTTTGAGTAAATGATTTCTAAGAGCTATT